TTTTTCTGGTCATTTTTGAACAACTTGCATTCTGTCGTTATTTTTCAGGGCATTGATTTCAAATTGAACGACTATGAGCTAGGATTTGAAACAAAAGGTAATACTTTAGTTGTATTGTTGACAGTTGCAAGAGAAGCCTCCTTCTTTCCTTTCAATTGTTTTTGAACATTCTCTGACCTTTATGAGCAACACTCAAATTCTTCTCCAAATATTTCATGTCAGTAGATATTGGCAGAACACGGGACGCATTCCCACTCACTGCATGCAAGTGCATTTCCTCTGCTTGCCAGTATGCTGCCCTCTATGTGTCGTCCAAAGAGGAAGAGCGTGTGTCTCTTGAGAGAATTTGTAGCATCATGGCTCATTTTGCACAGACCAGCACGAATGGAATTCTGCATGATTTAAAATGATCAAACGCAGTGGTTCCCTGTGGGACCTTTCACACTGAGAGTGGACAACCTGCGTGATAGGATGATAAACCGCGGTCTTCAGAATCCCAAGCAATCTTTTAAAGGTACCACGCTAAGAAAGCACACTTTGGCCAGTCGCTGGTCCTGTTGGGTATGGCATCTTGGACTGACCAGCACAGTTGAGCACTTCCTGGACTTGCGTTCAATTCTTCCTATGGGTTGCGTCTGTTATTGCTGCATGTCAGTAATTTGTGTAGCCAGTGAGTTTCACCTAGTGTGTAAATGTCAAATATCACTGATCACTTGTCATATCACTTTCCATCAACTCATTGTATTGCCACTTGTTTGTGTATGCAGGACCTCTCATGCTATAGTGAAGTATTTCTGACCTGGGCTTGGGAAAATGGTGGGACTTAGGTTCCAGATTATTGAAGGACTTCAAAAATGATTGTAATAACCTCGTTTTGGGATTGATTTTTATTTTGAACACAGATCCGGCCTTGGATGAGGCCAGCCGAATCCTTCGTCTCTTACACGTGGCGGAACTCCGTGACTTACAGACCAGGATCAATGAAGCAATCGTAGCGGTCCAAAACATCACGGCCAACCCCAAGACGGATCAGAAACTGGGCAAGGTGGGACGATGACCCAGGCACAAGACCTAACCAGAGACAGGGGAGGGCTAGATGACCCTCTAAAGCCCAGGTCATGCAACAAGGGACTGCGACGCATGTTGGGAGTGACTCGGTCTGGGGACCGTCCGACGTAGCTTCATCGCAGCATTCACTTTTGGTTTCCTCTTTGTTAGTGCAGCCACCCTTGTCTGATTCCCAGAATCCACATCTTGAGGAGGGCTTGACACAGCACGCACAGCACCAGTCTGCTTCCACTCACAACCTACGGCCTCTGCGCTGTGATCCCAGAACCCCTAAAGGAACCTCAACACCTGCCTAAAGCGGTGGATTTGTTTCTGATGCCCTCACAAGCATGATTCCTTACTTTGTCTTAATTCAACGAAAGGCTGTGGCTTTGGCTCGACATTTCAGGCATGTAAATGCATGCAAAAAAAGGGACTTGGTTAGTCATAGCCAGAGCCCGATCTATAGCTTCAAAAGCTGTTCCACTGCGCATCAAGATGGCTCACAGCATCTTATGCACTGTAGATATAAGTCAGTTCTATAGAGTTCTGAAGTGTAACAGCAAAGACGAATAAAGTATGCTCATATATTCATTCACGCACTCGTTCTCGCGCTAATATCCTTCACACACATAACTGTGCCGTGACATCCTCACTTCAGGACTCCCTCAAAGTTCAAAAGAGTGCTATCTGATGGAATTTGCACTGAGACAATCTAAAAAGAGTTCTCTACTGATGACATGTCTCTTTTTCTACTTTCCAACGGTACTCAATGGACCGTTTGCCCCCACTGGCTCCGTAGGAGAGTCCGCATGTAAACAGAAAGTGACATCATCAGCACGTAGACCCGTTTGGATAAATGTTAATCCATATACTAATTCTGCAGTTGGATCGTCTGTTACAATATTTGCTGCTATATCATAGACAAACTGAACACCCCAGGCTACGAAGAAAGTGAGGTGCTCAGTGCTTGCCTTGATTGGACACAACTGTGATTGGTTAGAAGTACATAACTGGAAATTCACTCAGATTCCTATCCCAGAAAGCAAAGCCAAGTGGAGAGGAATATTCAATTTTTCACCGAATGAAATGACTCTTTCCACTGCATGAAATTGCAACTGTTTTATGCAATAGCTGAATAGATTGTCATTGTTTGTCACCGTTTTCCTCTCGCAGTCTGGCATAAAAGTTGTGACAAGATGTCCTTTTCCAGATCAATAAGGCTTCAACACGTTCCTGTGAGTCTAGCAAGTTACTGTTTCTTTCTTACTAGATGTATTGGCATCATTTAAAGAGTTCATACATTTCTTTATCGGGTGAAAATGATTATGCTTCACATTTATGACGATGTTACACTGCTATTTGAAAGCATTTAGATGAATTATTCATGTTATGTGATCTATAATTCACAAATCGGGTGACAGGAATCCATCCAGATGTTTTTTTTAAATCTTTTGTCTGAATACAAGGGTCTAGATTCACAGAACTGCTGAACAGGACTTCCTGAGCAATCACATGTACATGAAAAGATCTCGGCTTATAACCTCTTTCTGCCATGCAGAAAGTTTTTTCTTTGCCGAGCTAATTTCTGTGCTGAGCTTATTTCTGTGCCTGGTGTTGCCGTGAAATGGCCTGCAGGTGTCTTATTTTTTAATTTTGGTGTATTTGCCATTTAAGCATGTGAGTATAGATTCTGCTGGGAATGGTTGTTCTCATAACTTCCATACATGTATTTTCATCTTTGTAAATTCATCGAAAAAAGAGCCAAGTAAACCTCAAATCTGAAAAATTATTTAGCACTAGCATTATCCTCTCTGAAGGTGGTTGCTTCTTTTGATTGTAAAACTGTTATGCAGTAGATTGGACTGCTCAGAACAAACTGGACTTTGACCTCTGTTGCGTTTGTTGGGGGATCACTCAGGTTTCTTCATTTGCTTATGCCAACGTTGTAAGATTGTAAAAACAGCAGTAAGTTATTCATGTTCCTGGAATGCAGGTTGCATGCTTTGCATAGTTCTATTAAAATGTGACATTGAAAGGGAATTCCTATGTGGTTTGGACAGTCTTAATGGATTAAACTGTCTGTATCTTGGTGTCAGAGCATTAACACAGCTGGCATTATCAAAATGTTAATACGTGGTCACATTGTGCATTGTTGAACAGGGTAACGGTCTGAATACTTGTAACTTAGCTCCCCATTACATCACAAGCATTACAGATTTATTGTATTTGATTGTTTCTCATTTTTTGTTGACTTTGAGAGTAATTCGGAACAAACAGAGTCCACGATGAGAAATTGTTGAATTTACTGCCTGTTTAGAATTGGTATGAAAAATAAGGCTGCCTGAAAGCTCCACTGCATTTTACTTTCCTGGCTCCATGTCTTTCATGACAATGCAGGCTAACCTTTACTGGGAAGTCCCCCATTACACATTCTAGGTTCCCAGCCAGTTGGATGACAGTTTAATTGCAATTTATAACGGATGCTATTCTGTTCATGACAGTGAGGTTGTAGTTTATACCCTAAATAAAAATTGTTCATGCATCAGTTTGTATGTCGGAGATATTAATAATATTCAGCCCCAACTTCAATTTTTTCCCACCAATTAACAATCCTCCCCATTTACTTCATTTTGGTCCAACAGTGAAATTCATTCAATCATTTCAGTCCCTTGCCCAAACCTTTTCGTGGTAGTTTATACAAGAAAAAAAAAAGCATTGGGGCTGGTCTGTATGCAATTTTCTCTGCAAGACACCAAAAAGAAGTAGTCTAAAATGATACAACAAAAACTGATGTCAAGAACTTTTCAAATTCTATCGGCAGACCCTTCAATAAACAAAGCATACCATTACAAATATCTTGTGGGAATATGCACTTGTTTAATTTCACTCACTATCCAATAGTTTCTGTGTGTTCTTAGTTTGTTCTGACAAGGTTCATTACTGTACCATCCTAATCTGACTTAATTTAACAAAAATATGCAGTGAAAATTAATGTGTGCCAAAAACAGTCTACCATGAAATTGTTTTAAAAACATGCTTGATTGTTTTAAAAGTCAACTTCCACCTAGTGTTATGATACACATGTTAGACAAAAGAAAGACTTTTTATCACATTTAAAGGCATTATCAAAACTCCCACTAGTTGACCAATCCTATCATAATACTATTTTTAAACGGATCTCTGCTATTCTAGAAGTTCAATTAACGGATCCATATGAAATAAATAAGGTTTTTTTTTTTTTTAAAAAGGCTGTCAAAATACATGCAATCTTCAGATAGAAAACAGAATACGGTGCTCTCGGCCATAAAATTCATTGGACAAACCAGCACTGGACTTGTCATGCAGGTGTCGTGAATGCTAAAATAAAAATCAAAGTGCTAGCAAGAAGACTAATAACACAAGACAATGGGTTGATGAAGTCTTTTCACCTGAAAGTCCATTCACAGAAAAAGTAAAATTCATTTGAAATTTTAGGGTATAATGTCATCACCTTCAAAACCCATGCTGACAACATTGGCAAACACTTTCCAAATTTCGGTGGCATTATTATCAGGGTTTAAGTTTTGGCATAGCTTTTCAAAACTTGATTTTTACATCACTTATTTTCATTTCTGGTGAGGTAATTTTTTTGGGGTTTGGCCTTTGCGGCATGAAGTTACCTTAGGTCAACCTAATAAAAGGCTCAAACTTCCAGTTTTTATGCAATGCAATTACACATTCTTAAAACTTTCATTTTAAATTTTCCCTTCACTATGATTAGCAACACTGTGAAAAGCACATGAAAAATATCTTACAGTTTCTTTCTGAAAGCTTAATTAATGAACAGGAATAATAACAGCAATTTATTTTCATATTTCTGCACAATACACCTGATGTTTTAAAAAAAGTAAGATGATTATTATTCAAAAGAATACAGGGTAGATCAAGGATTCCATACATCAGCAGTAGAGGGCGCTATGCAACTACTTAGAAAGCTTCAGTGTGTGACACACCTTACGCCAAGTTACATTTTTTTAATGCACACCCTAAGCTGCTGTTACAACGGCCTTATCATGAAGTCTTGGGTAGAGCCAGCAAATAACACCACAAGCCCCAACAGAAGCCAGCGGCTAATTAGCCAAACCCTCTGCTCACTGAAATCTGTATTAAAGTTTGAAACCAAGACCTTCAGGTGAACACTAACGTGCCACACAAAAATTGTTCACAAAAGTTGTAACTGCACTTTATGGCCATCACATACACTAGCCAACAGTAAATGGTATTCCTATTTACATGCTGTGCTGTGACACTTCAAATCTTTACCCCAATTTCCACAACTGCTTTTTAATTCTTGCCAAAATGCCCACCCGCGCATGCTTTTAACTGGGCTCCCGAAAAACGTAGCTTCATTTGAGATCACTAGCAGTTTGTAGCACCAGTCAATCAAAGTTAACTTGTACAGACTTGAGTCTTATTACAAAAGAGCACCTTTGTGATAAAGAAGTAATACGTATTCGGAAAGCACAGAAATCGGTTACACTGAAAGTTACTGGCAGACTAAAATGGAAGGTTATAATCTATTATAAAGATAAATTAACAAAGAGCTAGAAGATACATCTGGCTTGTACAAACCTACACTGGTTACACATACACAGAAAGACGTCACTCCGATAAACAATGTGAATATTTCACGGTAAATTGTCCCAAAAAATATTCTACAACTAAAAACTTTTAGTGGTGCAGCATCGTGCCATGTGCTTTTTAAAACGTCAACATTTTCTCCTGACTGTTTCAATACAGGTTTCCTAGTTATCAACACGGTTGCTGATGGTCAACATTTAAACTATTGACTGTCCAATGACATCGAGTATTGCTTGCAAGTGCATAGGCTGATCACAAATAAAAAGCGGTTGTCTGTTACCAAGTCATCTTTTTTCTCCAATCAAAAAGACTGTATCATAGTAGTGTCAAGCAATGAGAAGCCTTGTACTGTTGAGTAGAGATTCTCTGTGACCACGAGTCATTGGCAGTGAGCACCATGGGTTGTTCACACAGGTAGCAGGATGGGTTCTATTCTGCCAAAGGAACAAAGGCAAAATTCACTACATAAGGTAACAAATTTATCAAATCTTCAAGGGATTGATTAACCAATTTTACCCCCCAAAAATCACAAACTTTTATGATGAAATTTCCCTCAACAAGTGTGACTGATACCAAGTTTTCATGGCTAGTGTTTCTATCTTACACTTATCCTTGGGCACAGCTCTTATTACCCATAATTCCCCTCGTCATCATCTAGTGGCTTTAAGACAGAAACCAACAAGATCTAAACTGCCTGATATTCTAAACACAGCAGATTGTGGCTTATTACTGGGAGGCCCCAGCAAGTTGGGTGTCTAGTTTGACAAAGTTACCTCCAAATAAACACAATGAGCCATCAGTAGTCGGTGCCCGCAATAGTACATGCACAAAATGGCACCTAGCCCTCAAGGTTGTTAGGGTAAGCACACTCCCCCTTACCCCCCAGTAGGGGTAGAAACATCCCAAATCTCTCTCTCCCCTAGCCCTCTCCTCACCTTACACACATGGCACCTCGTTGCCCTCCAGGTTGGTGGGGCAAGCACACTTCCTCAGGCCCCCCGGCAGGGGTAAACACAGGCTGCTGCAGCCGCCGTTGTTGGTGGTGCACGCGTTGGAGGCGCTCGGGCAGGAGGTGACTGCAACAACGCTGTAGATGCGACCGTTGCCTCCCCGCGGCAGCTTGAGCTGCGTGCTCTCCGCGCCGCCAGTCTTGCTGATGCTCTGAATGCTCTTGCTGTGAAGCAAGAAGGAAAGTGTTGTAGTAGACGTACTTAACAAGTACTGCATACAATCACAGGTACTTTGCACAGCAAGTACAATTGGTCAACTAATAATTTCAAGTCTTCCTCGGTAATTTCAAGTCTCTCTAAGTACAAAGTTTAGCGTGTAGGGTGACCTCCCCGTATGGATCTCTTTCTCTTTTTCTTGCTTATACATTCTTATTTTTATATCTGGATTTTTTTTTCTGTTTTTGTTTGTTTGGTTTTTTTTTGTAAGTAATGTTGTAACGTAAAGTTTAATTGATGTAATTGTTAATCGTAATGTAAATTTGAATTGTTTTTGGCCTTTGGCCACTGTGATTTAAATTTAATAAACCATAAGAAATAAATAAATAAATAAATAAAAAAAGTACATGCACCCCAGTCTCAATGCAAGCCTCAAGTTATTCATATATGAACTTAAACAAAGACATCCCTCTGTAGTTCTTTTTCCACTCTCAGTAGTGCAAGTACTTGCGATAACTATTAACAAATACTTCCTGAAGTTGACTTTAGGAGGAATCGCCTGATTAACACGCATCCTTAATGCCGATGGCCTGGAAGCATTCATTGATGACTTGTTCTGCACTTTTACAGGAAAAGGGCTGATTCTTTGTGAGGTCCCCGACTATCTCTGGTCATTTGTTAGTTTGGTACTCACGTTTCCCAGTCTGACCAGTAGAGTTTGAAGCCGTAGGATGCGATGCTGAAGGGATAATTGGAGTTGGGAAATACCGTGAAGCGGGTCAAGGGATCCCCGTTCATGTTCATACACTCGATCCTCTTGGTGCCTGGAACAACAACATGATTTTGAGGGAACGAGTCACTAGACGGCAACAACTTCAACTTTCACCAGGTCTACCGTAGTCCTCAGCCAGGTTTTCTAACACATTGTTTGAAGTGGGCCTTAATGTCTCAATTTTATGAGGCGCAAAGTATGTGACACCTGTTCATTGCACAGAGTTTAAGTTTTGACAGGACAAAGGATGTTTTACTCAACTAACTCAACAGAGCTGGATGCAGAACTAACTAGAAAGTAAAGCTCCTATTTTACTTCAATTAGGAAAGGGAACAAAGATATCCCCAAAGTTTACAATTCAGGTCAGTTTTTCAGAATAAGTGCATTACGCATTGTCTTTGATGTTGAATTTTTGTCATACTTAATTCCATGGAATATGGCACTTGTCTATTCACTTTGTCGTATATTTGAATGAAACCTGGTCAAACTTTCTTTACAAATTTCTGTCCAAATATCTTTTCTTGTCAAAGCTGATAAAGGACTTGTTGGTGAGTTTCAGATGAACTATCTTGAAAACCAGAACGTTGTGCAATCAGATTGACAGTTTGCAATATTTCTGTGTTTAATGAATGGTACAAATCTGATGCAAAGTTTATCCCATGGGGAACAGCATATCGGAATATTGCGGCAATATCTAAGATAGCCACTGTCTAACTAGCAACTGCAGTCATTCCAATAAATGCTTGTGTAATACTCCTGACCTTAGCCAGTTGATTCGGACACTCAACTGCCAACAACTTGTGAGCTGCTATGTAGAAAATTGTGCTTAGCAACTTCATGAACTGCGCAAAAAATCTGCTGGGAACCAGTCAAAAGAAACATGCAAGGCATGGGCGTCTGGCTGGTACCCTGCTTTCTTGCTCGGAGGATATTATCTGTGCTTAGCAGATGTCCTGGGACTGACCTGCATCAACCCAGCAGATCTGGCTGGTGGTGTAATCCAAGCTGAGGCCATTAGGCAGTCCCAGGTTGGTGTCCACCAGCACCGTGCGCTCGCTGCCATCCATGTTGGAACGCTCAATCTTAGGACCATCTCTGTTCCAGTCGGTCCAGTACAGAAACCTGGCAACAATAGAAACAAAAAAAAGAAAACAAAGAAATGCATGCCGTGAAGCTCTCCGCTGATCTCTTTTTGCTAGATGTACCTAGGAAACCGACAGTGATACATCACTTCTCCAATAATACACCCAGCTTAGACAAATCCAGTAATGTTTCCCTGGGCATTCCCGAATGGCCCCCAGTAATGGTGGGAATCACTGTGTTGGGTTTTGTATGGAGTGACTGTCACAGAACAGTGGCTCTGTACAATAGTTATGGCAAGGCTAACTGCCATTGGTAGGGGCTACCACTACTGACCAATGATGGCATTACGATGGTCACCACATTTGTTAATATATCCTAGGCTGTGAAAGTGTAAAATATGCAGGACTCGTGCTCCGAATATGTTCAACTGGAAGGGCTCAAAAACTGATCACACATAAGATGACAGAATCTTATACAGCTCTCGACTCTGCCACCAAATTCAGTTGAAGAGTCTTCAATCTGTTATGCCAGACTCAGTGTCCAGTTACTTTAGTAAACAGTCCAAGCAGTTTTCACAATTCTGCCATCAAGCAGACAGCATGGTCACCTTCCAATGTTTAAATGTCTTTGAATAAGGGCATAAATATGTGTGGCAAGGACATCATCAGTGTTCATTCCCTGAGCCGATTTTAAATGTCAGCTGTCCAGAAGCATATGGCGTGCGTGTGGAGCATTCTGCATGCCACGTTGACTCTTGACCAATGGGATGGACTAAACTGTCCAGAGCATTTTTTTTACACAGCGGGCATAATCAAATGTTAATACATGGTCACGTTCCGCATTGTTGAATAGGGAAACTGTCCTAGGAGGTATTTATTTAATGAAACATAAAAGTTGATAAGTCAGTCAAGACTAATATGGCCCCCTTTTTTGTCCTTTTGATGTTTTAATGCATGGGAATGCTATCTTAAATCTTGATTGAATACTGGAATTGCCAATGATGGGAGGTTCAGAAATGCGAAGTTATGTCATAAAGTCTGAGCTGCGGCTGTTGGTATCACACACATCTATAGGAAGTTGATGTAGCTACTGTCTAGCCACTTCTACACCAGCTTCCATAGGCACCAGTGTTTATAACAGCCGTGGCCATCACTTTTGTTTCGGTGGAAATATTGTCTGAACACCTAGGTACTTTTCCACCTACCCGCCGATGGGGTCAGCGGCTATGGCTCTTGGGTTGACCATGTTGGTGTTGAGGAGGACACGTCGGTTACTGCCATCCAGGTTAGCCACTTCGATGCGGTCATAGCCTGAGTCAGTCCAGTACATGTTACGACTAAGCCAGTCAACAGCCAAACCTTCTGGACTGCTTAGACCTGTGCAGGGGACAGACCAAAGGTCACTTTGTACTCTTTGTAATTCAAGATGTCAGTTGGAGTGAATCCAAGTTAAGAGACTTTGTGGAGCAGGAAGTACGAATGATTAGAAGTATGAGTGCTTGTAAGTTCAGCTCACCATAGGTACAGAAGACATGTACAACTTGCAACGAGGACTTGTGCTTTGGTTCAATTCAAATTTTTGGATAACATAAGTCATTTCTTAGCTTAAAATCTAAGACCTACCAGTTTCACTTTTTACAGACTTTTCTTTTCAGTACACTCGGTGTAAAATGGATGTCATGTTTTGTTTGCACAGCAAGCAATACACTGTACAATAAACCAACTTCTTTATAAATACAATTTACGAATTTGATTTTGTATGATTCAATTACTCATTCCCAGAATTTGCACAATTTAGTAAGATGGCATAATTCATTTAACCACTGTCCACTCTCAAGATTTGCAGGAAAGGGCCCGACTTTTTACACTGAACTTAGAATCTGCTGGCCATTTGGAGCCTCAAACCACCTTCAATTTTCAACACCAAAGCTCCATACCTCGGTTGATTAGCACCTGAATGCTGGACCCATCAGCCTTCGCACGACTGATGGTGCGACCGGATACATCCGTCCAGTAGATGTACTCCTCCGAACAGTCATAGCCCAAGCCCACAATGGTCTGTCCTGAGCGGAAGATGACCTTGCTGCCGGGCTGGTTGGGGTTGAGAGGCACACGCATGACAGCCATGCCCCGGGCATACATGAGGGCACCTTCGTCCAGGGGTGGTTGGACGATCTCTGGGGAAGGAAAAACCAAACAAGACAACAATAAATGCCAGAGAATGGAATTGAACTGAACAAAATGCCACCAACAAAGAAATAAGAGTATACTTTGCAACTTTTGCTGTTTGGAATAAGGTTTGTTCACAGCAAACATGCCACAAGAGTAGTTTTCCCAAATTCTACATAGAAATCTGACAAATGGAATCCTACTTTAGCCTCCAAACTTTTATGAGTAAGAGAGTAGGAAGTTTTGAACTCTCTTGTTGTGGAGACAATTAGTGTCCACATATTTTTCTTTCCTTGGCGGGTCAAAGGGCCCCTAAATATGGACAATGTTCATCCCGTGGAACAAGGTCTTACCTTGGCAGGAGAACCCGTCCCCTTCATAGCCCGGCTGACAGTAGCAGGAGAAGCTGCCACGTACATTGTAGCAAGTCGCGAAACGATGACACGGGGTACCAGACTGGGAACACTCATCAACATCTGAAAAGCAGCGAAAGAGAGCAGTGAACTAACACTCACAAACTGTAACATCATACTATTTCCTGAACTTTCAGTGTGAATCAGGGTAGACACTCTGCATGTGCTGAAATATAGGACCTGAGTAGCTTTGGTCAATTCAACAGCTCCGTCAGCTGGAACCAGCTACAAGAAATACATAATGCATGACACCTGTAACCCGCTTTTAGTAAGCGAATGTTTTGTATGCTTAGAAATACTCTGGGCTTAGCAACTCCATAAAATCGGTCCTGACACTTCTCACTCACAAGCAAGCAACAAGCATCACACTCTTCCATGCAGCAAGAAACATAACTTGTTTCCTTTGAGGTGCCAGATTCTCAGCATTCAAACAATTATTTGATGACTGTCCCTTACCTTCACAGGTGAGCCCATTCCCTTCAAAGCCCGAGTTGCAGACACACCTGAAGCCACGCCCCTCAGGGATGCACTGGGCACTGACATCACAGGCCGAACACAGGTTGACTAGTATATCTGAGGGGAGGGGGACAAGTGCCCAGGGTCGGGAGTGAAAGCTGGCAAGCGTCAGTTGGACATTTACCTCTTGCAACATAATAACCTCGAGGAATGTAATGGACTTTTAACTTAGTTACGACTGATGCGCAAAAGGTTTACTTGAGCCTATCCCAGTGATACAAAACTCTTGCCCTCTGAGGACACGTTAAGGCGTGACCTCTATCCACTGGTGATAGCAACCTTCAACTCCGCATCACGGGCTATCACACGTTCTCATAATTGACAGAATGACTTCTTCAGAGCCAAGACACTTCCCACGGCAACCTCCCTAGTACTCACTTCGGCAGGTGAATCCGTCTCCTTCCCAGCCCTGGTTACATTCACAGGTGTAGCCGCCGCCCGGAGCCGGGGAGCACTCGGCGTTGAAGTCACAGCGGTTGTTGCTGCAGGGATCAACAGCCACAGCTGAAACATAATAGCACATGTACGACTGCATTATCTTGCAGTAAAGCCACAACCTAAGCCACTCAAGAGATGCACTGACGATTCTAAAAGCAAACTCCGATGGATGCATCAAATGCTAGCAAACTTCACAGGGCGAATGGCAAGTTTCCCCTAAGCAGGCTCTAACAAGTGTGCATGAAATTCACTGACATTTAAGCAGATTTGCACAAAGCCTGAAAGCCAGCAACTGCAACAGGGCTCACATCCCAGTTCATAAACTTTTCCCAGACTGGATTATTCCTAACTGCGCATGAAAGAATGGAAGCAAATCTTTTGATCAAACACTCGCGTGACAGTGAAACTAAGTGAATATTTGAACTCCCCCCAAAAGAAAACCCCAAAGTAACAAGCAAATTTAGAGGAAGAGATTGCATAGAAACTATCTCTAGTCTAGGCACAAGCTTTGTAATGCTTCAATAAAGTCTCCATCTTAAGAAATTGCAGAGTCTTCACGAGCTATTTTTCGCAATCCTAGCAACCCTTTCAACAATGTCCACAATGTGTGATCCTTAAGGACATATATTTCAGGTGTCGGTTTTTATGTCAGAGTTCAGAATGCCAGTGCTGCTCCACTGTACACACTCACCACATAGAGATTTGTGCCCATTAGAGAGAAAAACCGGTCATGCCCATGAGCCACAGGCAAGCCGGCCAATGTGTGCATGTACTGCTTTTTGCACAAACGGCTCATACCATACCAGTATAAGCCATACAGTACCATTAACTTATCCAAGTCTTGAGGCAGGAACATGAAATAAGAACATGGACACACAAGAGGACTGCTCTCAAAAGAACATTCTACTTGTTTTAGTTGATTAGCCAGGACACTACAAAGCAATGGAGCAAGTGGTCTGTATAGTTTCCTTGAAAATGAATCACACTGCAGGCAGAGGAATGCAGCAGAGAAGTTTTTACTCATGGAGTTTCAAAATGACAAATAAAAATTACAGAATCATGTTAAAGGATCACATTGCACGTAGGGAAATGGACACAGAAGGTTTGCACATGAAGTTTAAAATGATAAAAAGTCTGCAAAATCGGGAAAGAAAAAACAAAGTCTTATGATGAGAAGCTGTTGTCTTTAATTCCATGTTGTCCGAATGCTCAGGAGTGACCTGTCACTCATTAGGTAACTCCCATGTCAAATACAGAATGCCCACATCTTTACAACTTTTGTAACCGGACCCCTAAAAAGCAATGCCTGGAAAGCAATGGAAGTTCTTTGATACAATGTAAGCACAACGTGATTTGGACAGCACAGTATATGTAAATACAAGGAGAACAGAAAAGTTGAAAAATGAGAGAAAACCTGAATGAAATGCATCGCGGCTACGTAGAGATTAAAGCTAATGGGAAAGGAAAATAATGACGAAGAGAAAAGGAAAACGTAGAGACAGTAGAAATGTATGCTATATCACATGCGTGTACATAGGAGTGCTGAGAAAACAAGCATCTTATGACCCTAACATCCACACCCAGACCGCAACATCATCTTTTCTCCGCACAATTTTTGTTGATGCAAAATAACGTGATCTAACTCAAGCTACTGGTGTAGATCCAATGGGATAACTGTATAAATTATTATCTACAGATGCAAACATGGCAACACACGTCTGTAGCCCCAGCTCGTCTGTTGTTGAATAGGGCTTTATGGTGAGTTACGCTACTTCCAAATCCAACCATGTTCTGCAACTGAGAATTCAGTCAGCATGTACATGTAGCATGCAAAATGTGCCTGGCTACTCGCGTTTGCAATTGGTAAAATAAGGGGGGAAATGCATTTGCTCAAGTTGAGGACTTGTGAACGCATGAAAGATGACATGACTGGCGA